TTTTTTTCATTCGACTACTGTAACCAGATCCTTGTATGCCCCATAGATACAGTCAAAGCTACACAAGCCATAGAAATATACAGATAAGATATATTTTTACACCATACAAGTAAATTTCCAGCGTACAGCTTTAAACCAGGAAAAAATGTCAATAAATTCTTAATCTTTTCTCATTGTTTCCCCCAAAATACGAAGTAAAGAGAGGTCAGACAATCTGAAAACTGAAAACCCACGATAATCTGTACAATAGAAAGCCGATGAAGGGAGCACAGGTCTATTCAAAGAATTAAAAGATCTCCGGAAATTCGAACCACATAGTATTCGATAGCCCAACATAAATAAAATGTCAACAAAAACATAAAAAAAAAATAAAAAAAAAACATGGGATTGAACATCAAAGATCAACACATAGGACGCACCAATTACAGTAAGAGAAAATACGCCACAGAGCACAGCACATGAAATTGTGATTTACAGAGAAAAAGAAGGAAGGGAAGCTAATGAGCAGAGAAAATTTACAGAGATTGGGAAAAATAGAGATCTGAGTCAAAATTAAGAAAGAGCCCACGAACCAGTCGATGATTCCGAGGCAACTGCCCAAGTAAAAACCTGTATGTGTTAATGTGTGTCTGTGTTTTGTGCAATGCGTTTGCAGAGGCTTTCTTTTCACCTCGAGAATGAAAGAGGAGAAAGGGGAGAAGAGAGAGGAGAGAGAAAAAGAGAGAGACTACAAATTTTAGAGTTAATTGCATAAAAAAATCTCTAACCTTTTGTTTAATAATTAGAAATAAAACTCAACTTTTTCAAACATTTATTACATACTAGTACAGAGCCCGTGCGATGCACGGAGTGCACAATTTTGAGGTCATTTATCCATTCTTATAATTATATAAATGAATAAAAAAAATGTACGGGATATATATAGTACGTGACCTATAATAGGCCAAAATGTGAACACGGGTGATGCACGGGGTGTACAATTTTAAGGTCATTTATTAGTGCAGAGTCCGCGCGATGTACGGGGTGCACAATTTTCTAGTATGTGTAATAAAAATACATACCGTATGCACGAGACAGAAGCACTAAATGAGTCATTTCCACAGAGCTTGCCCGTTAAGTAGCTCCTGAACACGGGTACACAATTTGTAGTACGTACCATAAAATCAGAACAGATTTTCATACAATTAGATAATAAATTAGATAATAAATAAAGCCTTTTTATTTTAGTAAAGTTTTTACGTACTTTTTTTTTTTACTTATCGGATGGTGTGGCATTTTTTTTGTTAAAACGATTTTATGAAATATAATACAAATACAATTAGAGGATTGAACAAAATCAGAACAGATTTTCATACAATTAGATAATAAAAAGGATAAATAATGAAAAGAAGGAATTAGATAAGGAATTTTGAATCTGACTTTTTTTTATATAGATAGACTTTACGTACAAATATTGATTTCACTGATTTTATGGGATTTATTTTGACAAAACGATGTTAATATGGAATAAGACAAATAAATAAAGTCTTTTGTTTTAGTAAAGATTTTACGTCTTTTTTTTTTTACTTGTCAGATGTTATGGGATTTTTTTTTCTTAAACTGATTTTATGAGATATAAGACAAATAAATAAAATAATTAAATAAAATTGTGGATAGAAATAACAA